GTGGGCTCCTTTGTCAAGCACTAGAACTTGTTGGGTAACAGGCTGTCATGGTTTGAGATAGTCCCAAAATCCAATTCCCTAGCTCCATCCCCCCTCCCACATCTCAACCTAATGTGAGAGAGGTTTTTCCAGACAAAACACACCAGACTCCAAAGTGGGGGAAAGGGAAATATATTGCAATGACTGTACAAATAAATACCATATCACATTATACACATGATCACAACTATCTCTAACATGACATATAGTATTTACAATGGATCAGATCTCTTCTCCCCTCCAAATAAAGGTCCAGGAGGGAAAGAAGGGCAGATCCCTTCCAGTCTCTGAACAGCAGCATCTTCTGAGGCAGCAGGTTTCTTCTCATCTCATGCAGCAGCTGATAGCTGGCTTTCTGCCAGCGTCCACGAGGGAGGTATCCAAGCCCCTCCCTCGGCCCCATCGCCTCACAACCGAGGGGTCTTCCGTGGGCTTCGTAACCCCAGACAAGGTCGTATCACCACGTCATATCACGAAGACACAGGGGAGTCTTCGTGACGGTCTGGTATCTCCTGCAGGGCCTCTGTGCCCTGTCTCTCAGGCTGCCACCGTGGCAGCAGTGCGAGGGGGGGAGCCAAGGTCAACTCCCCCTGCATTCCTCTCGGAGCTCTCTAGCTCCTTTCTACAGTGCATGTCGCACTTCAAGGCTCTTTCAAGTAAGAGTCCATCATCTTCCTCCTTCCAGGAGGTCTCAAAGGAGTTTTGGGGATCTGGTATCAGTCTTACCCCCAAGAACTCTGTAGCTCTCAGCTGCTGGCTCTCCTTTCCTCGACTCTCCTTCCAGGAGTCTCCTCTGCAGTGCTGCATGTTGCTTCTGCTGCTTCTTCAGTTCAGGTTCTTATCTCTGGCTCTCTGCCACTGTTTCTCTGGTCAGCGTCGGCTGCTGCTCTGTGCCCATGGAGAAAACATCTCCCGGCATACTACAGGCACCTAGCCCAGCTTTATGCTGTTCCAGGTCCCTGCAGCCCCCCAGCCAGGGGCTGGGAGGGGGCCAGAGGCCCCAAGGGGCTCAGAGCCCCTTCCTCGTGGCTCTACAACATGGCCACCTCTCCTACACCACCAAACTACAACTCTTCTTTTCCGGTCTGGTTGTGATATGTTTACATTTCTGCAGGAGCGCCCATTGGGCAGAACTTCAAAACTTCCAGGGGTTTCCACCCCTTGGGGTCTACCACTTCTCTTAGCCTCTGGGGAAAACAAGGTTCAAACCACTACACAGGCCCAGTCCTGTTGCCTATTTTTCGTGGGGATGTGCAGGAGGGCATTGAGTCTTCCAGGAGCAAATTGGCAGAGGACCCCAAGTTGGCTTGCAGTGTGGATGTGCTGGAGGGGAGGAAGGCTGTGCAGAGGGACCTGGACAGGCTGGACCTCTGGGCCGAGCCCATGGGCATGAGGTTCAAGAGTGCCTTTGGTGCCTTTGGGGCCTCTGGCCACAAGAACCCCCTGCAGCTCCAGGTCGGGGGCAGAGGAGCTGCAAAGGGTCCCCGTGGGAGAGGCCCTGGGGGTGCTGGTGGACAGAGGCTGAACCTGAGCCAGCGGGTGCCCGGGTGGGCAAGAAGGCCAAGGGCAGGCTGGCCTGGATCAGAAAGAGTGTGGCAGCAGGAGCAGGGCAGTGATGCTTCTGCTGGACTGGGCACTGGTGAGGCCACCCCTGGAGTGCTGTGTCCAGCTCTGGGCCCCTCAATTCAGGGAGAACCTTGAGGGGCTGCAGTGGGTGGAGAGCAGGGCAATGGAGCTGGGCAAGGGTCTGCAGTGCATGGCCTGTGAGGAGCAGCTGAGGGAGCTGGGCTTCTCCAACCTGGAGAAGAGGAGGCTCGGGGCTGACCTTCTCCCTGTCCACAACTTCCTGACAGGAGGCTGGAGCCAGGTGGGGGTCAGCCCCTTCTCCGAGGCAACAGGCGACAGGACAAGAGGACACGAGGACCTGCCTGTCAGGGGCTGTTTGTCAGGGACAGGAGCAGGACTTTTTGGAGAGAAACAGGGATTAGGTATTGAAATGGGCTGCCCAGGGAGGTGGTGGAGTCAGCGTCCCTGGAGGTGTTTAAGCAAAGACTGGCCATGGCACTGAGTGCCGTGGTCTGCTTGACGTGCTGGGGATGGGGCGTAGGCTGGACCCCGGCTGATCTCACAAGTCTCTGCCAAGCTCAGGGACTCTGGGCTTCTGTGCCAGCCCAGCCTTTGGGGACAGCGTGCTGGTGGCTCCGAGGCTCCGTCCTTGCCTTGCCTTGCCCATCTCCTGGCTGCCAGGCAAGGGCCTTGTGACATCACAGCCTCTGTGGAACAGCGCGGGGGCTGAAAACTGTCAGTGCTGCGTCCCCGTGCCCAGAGCCTGGGCAGAAGTCGGCTGGCGGGGACGGGCAGAGACTGTGCAGAGGTGTCAGCTCGTCCCGCAGCAGCACGATGCCCAGCCAGGGCATCTCCTGGCTCCTCAGGCTCTCGCTGCTCCTGCTCTTGCCTGGCCCACTCGAGCCTTGCAGCCGTGGCACAGGTGCCATTGCTGAGAACCGGGCTTTTCCTTGGATGGCCCCTTGCCAGCAAAGGCAGGAGAGGCTGGAGAGAGGGGAAGGAGGGGGGTCAGGCCGCGGGGATGGGGCCGGCGGGCCGTGAGCCCGAAGCCAGCAAGGCCTTGGGCCCACACGGTGTCAGGGGAGGACTGAGAGCCCCCAGGGAGGAGGAAAGCTGGGCAGGCCCCAAGGCTCCTGGGCCTCTTCCTTGCCAGCCCTTTGGCCAAGGCCCCCAGGCAGAGGTGGGGCTCAGCCCCTGCCCAGCAATGGGGCACAGGCTGAGCCCCAGGGACACCAGAGCCAGGCGGCCTGAGCTCTTCTTCCTGCAGCGTCTGCCTGGGGCAGCCCAGCCAGGCCTGAGTCTCTGCAGGAGAGGCCAAGCCCAGCCAGAGAGGGCTCAGCCCTCTGAGGCTGCACTCACTGCAAAGGGAACAAAACCTTGGCCCAGAGGACATCCTGCCCCCAAATGGAGAACTGGAAAGGTCAAGAATAAAAAAGTCACCCCCCTCCACTAGCCAAGAAATGTTTAGAGCTCTTTCCTAAAAGCATCCAGGACTCGGGTCACCCAATTTTCTCTCTGAGAAGGGTTTTCCATGGTTCCCCTCAATTCCCAGGTTCAAAGGGGTCCCAGCACACTTTGGGATGTGTTGGATGCCGTGTTGGGGTGCAGATGTCCCCCCAGAGCTCTCCCAGAACAGGGTGACACAAGAGGGGGGCACAGAGGGGTCCCCATTCCTGATCCATCCTGGAGCAACCACACTGGGGGCAACTGGGATCAGAGTGGGAGCAGCTGGGCCCCTGCTGGGCTCATATTGGGACCATACTGGGAGTGACTGCAATAATACTGGGAGTATGTGAGAGGCACTGCAACCATACTGGGGATGACTGGGATCAAACTGGATTCATACTGGAAGTGTTTGCAAGTTCCTGGGATCATACTGGGGGTGACTGGACTCATAGTGGGATCATACTGGGAGCAACTGGGACCATGCAGGGGCAAATGTCCTCCTCCAGGCAGTGACTGAAAGTGCCTGGGGCCATTCTGGACTCAGACTGGGAGTCCCTGAGAGAGAAAGGAACCATCGTGGGGGGGACTGGGAGCAACTGGGACCACCTTGGGGCAACTGGGATCCAATTGGGAGTGACTGGGAGTGACTGGGATGATAGTGGGAGTGACCAGGGCAGTGCAGGAGGAGGGGCAGGAGGTGCTCCAGGCCTGGAGCTGAGATTCCCCTGCAGCCCAAGGAGGAGCCCACGGCAGAGCAGGGGATGCCCACAAAGAAGGATGTGAGCCCGTGGGAAGCCCGTGCTGGAGCAGAGTCCCTGCAGCTGCTGCGGCCCCAGAGAGCTCCAAGGGTCTCATCAGCACTGCTGGTTGTGGGGCCACACAGAGGGGCTTTTGGCAGTGTATCCCAGTCACCCCCAGCATGCTCCCACTCAGTCCCAGCATGATCCCTGTTAGCCCCAGCCTCTCCCAGTTTCCCCCAGTGAGTCCCACTCATTCCCAGTTTCCCAATACTTCCAGCATGAACCTAGTTACTCACAGCAACTTCCAGTCATCCCCAGTATGGTCCCAGTTCCCCTCCACATGATCCCAGTTGCTCCCAGTGTGGTCCCAGTCACCCCCACTATGGTTACAGACACTCCCAGTATAGCCCAGTAGAGCCCACAGCAGGCTCATAGTCATTCCCAGGCACATCCAGTTACCCCAGTGAGGTTCCAGTTTCTGCCAGTAAGATCCCAGTCACTCCCAGTATATCCAAGTATACCCCATGTAGCCTCCAGTATGCTCCCAGTTGCTCCCAGTAGACCCTCAGTGTGGTCTCAGCATGTTCCCAGTATGATCCCTGTTGCCCCAGTTCTGGTCCTGGAGGGTCCCAGTGTGCTCAGATCCTGCTCCCGTGGGTCCTGCTGGGTCCTGGTCCTGGTGATCCCGGTGTCCCAGTCCATCCCAGTCTGTCCCAGTCTGTCCCAGTCCATCCCAGTCTGTCCCAGTCCATTCCAGTCTGTCCCAGTCCACCCCAGTCCATCCCAGTCTGTCCCAGTCCACCCCAGTCTGTTCCAGTCCATCCCAGTCTGTCCCAGTCTATCCCAGTCTGTCCCAGTCCATCCCAGTCCGTCCCAATCCATCCCAGTCCATCCTGTCCCGTCCCGGTGCCTTCCCAGCAGCCGCCGCCGTTTCCCGGGTCCTGCCCCCCCGCCCCCCCAAGATGCTGACGGGGGTCGGGGCTCCGTCTTTGCCTTCGTCTCCCTGGGCTGGGGCTCGGCCTCCGCCCGCGGGAGGAGCTGAGGGGGGTCCCCGAGGGGTCGTATGTCCCCCCCGGAGCGTGTGTGCCCCCTCGGGACCCCCATCCCGCCGTCCCCCCCTTTTCTCTCCCCACGGAGCTCCTGCCCCAGCTCCCGCTCCTCCCTGGCAGGGGCTTTGGGAGCCCCCCTTTGCCTCGACCCCGGGACCCCTGCGGGGGGCAGTGGGGGCTGCCCAGGGCGGGCACTGGCCCAGGGCGATCGCCCCCCGCCCCCGCGGCATCCGCTGATCGCGGCGCTTCCCCCGCTTTGGCCCCAAAGCGGCGCCTTTAAGGCCGAGTTTAAGCGCAGGGCCCGCGAGTTCAGCTCGGCCCGGCCCGGGGGTCCCGCCGCTCGGGCCCGTCCAGGGGGCCCGGGGGTGGCGGGGGGACCCGGGGCGGTGCCGGGAGGGGTCCCGAAGGGGATCCCGGGGCATTCCCGGCAATTCCCCCGGGCCCGCCCCCCGCGCTCCCTCGGCCACTTTCGCTTTCGCGTCTCCCGAACTGCGCCCAGCGGGGCCAGCGGAGCAGCGCGATGGCTCCAGCGCTGGGGCTGGGGGCGCTCCTGGCGCTCCTGGGGGTCTTGGCGGTCTCGGGGGGGCAGCCCGAGGGTAAGTGGGACCCCCGGAACGGGCAACTCCTCAGCCTTTATTGCCGGGCACCGGCACTTCCCTGAACCTCCATTTCCGGGCACCGGGACCCCCCTGCACCCTCTCCCTCAGCACCGGGACCCCCTGAATCCCGATTGCTGAGCACGGGAACCCCCTGAGCCCCCATTCCCGGAAGGAGACCTCCCTGAACACCCATTCCCGGGCATGGGAACCCCCCTGAACCTCCATTTCCGGGTACTGGGACCCCCCTGCACCCTGTCCCTCTGCACCGGGACCCCCTTAAACCTCCTTATCCGGCACCAGGACCCCCCATTTTCCATTCCTGGGCACGGAAGCCCCCCTGAACCCCCTTATCCTGCACCAGGACCCCCTGAACCTCCATACCCGACTCCAGGACCCCTCCAAACCCACTTATTCTCAACAAATACCCCCCTGTGACCCTTTTCCTGACAATCCCACCTCTCCCAGCCCCCTGATCCTCCCTTTTCCTTGACCCTTGAACCTCCCGAACCCGCCAATCTCTGTGACCCCCCCAGTTCTCCACTCCCTGTGCTTCCTGCAGGGGGGTCCCAGGCACCGGGAACACCCTTGACCGCAATTCCTGGGCACCGGGACCCCCTTGAACCCCCATTTCCTGGCACTGGGACCTCCCTGTTGACCCTCTGCCCCAACACCTGGACTTCCCTAAATGCTCTTATCCAGCACTGGGGCCTCCTGAACCCTCATTCCCGGGACTGGGAGCCCCCCTGAACCCCATTCCTGGGAAGGAACCCCGCTGAACCCTCATTCCTGGGCACTGGGATCCCCCTGAACCCCCATCCCCGGCTCCAGGACCCAATTGAACCCCCTTATCCTGCACCAACACCCCCCTGCACCTGCTTTCCCAGCCATCCTGCCTCTCCCAGTCCCCACAGCCCCCTTTTCCTTCTCCCTGAGACACCCTGGACCCCCATTCCCGCCTTTCCCAGCCCTCAGACCCCACTTTCCTCAGCACTGGGGACCGCTGGACCTCCCTTTCCTGGGCACAGGGACTCCCTGAACCTCCATCCCACTTCTCCCAGTGCCCTCACCCCCCTTCCCCTGACCCTGGGACCCCCCTGAACCTCCATTCCTGGGCACAAGGACCCCCCTGAACCCCCTTATCCACCACCCAGTCCCCCCTGAACCCCCTTCTCTGCAACTGGGACCCCCTGCATGCCCCTATTGGGCACTGGGACCCCCCTGCAGCCCATTTCCCGACCATCTCACCTCTCCCAATTCCCAGATGCCCCCTTTTCCTTGATCCTGGCACACCCTGGACCCCCATTCCCAGCCATCTCACATTTCCCCACCCTGTTTCCTCAACCCTGGGGACCTCTGGGCCCCCTTTGCTGGGCAGAGGGACCCCCTGGACCCCCCAATTCCACCTCTCCCAATCCCCGTATCCCCCTTTTCCCTGATGCTGGGACCTCCTTGAACCCTCAATCCCGTGCAGTGGGACCCCTGGCACCCCCTACCCCAGCACTGACACCCCCTGCACCAACTTCCCTGGGATCCCCAAGCCCCCTTCCCAGCTCTCCCAGCTCTCCCAGTTCCCCCTTTTCTCGACCCATGGACACCCCCAGACCCCCCAAATCTCCGTGTCCCCCCAGTTCTCCACTCCCTGCGTTACCTGGATGTGGCAGTGACGGAGCCCAGCCCGAGGATCCCTCAATTCCTGTCCATGGGATACGTGGACGGGATCCCCTTCGTGCGCTACGACAGCGAGCGGGACCGGCTGGAGCCGCTGACGCCGTGGATGGCGGCCGGAGCCGAGCCGGGATATTGGGATAGACAGACCCAGATCAATGAGAGGAACCGGTTCATTGATGCCGACAACCTGGAGATAGCACGGGGCTGGTACAACTGGAGTGGGGGTGAGTGGGGGGAGCTGGGGAATGGGATGGGATGTGTGGGGCTGGGATGTGGATCCAAGGCGCTCCAAAGGCTGGGATGAGGCTCTGTGTGTCTCCATCAGACTCTGGGGCTCCACAGGGCTGGAATTCCAGGGTCTCCATGGATC